GGGGGGAGGAGGGGGTCCGGGCCTTGGCTGTTGCCATGGCGATAGGGTGACACGGTGTGTGACACCCCGGGGAGGGGGATTGCAGGCCCTGTTACCATGGCAACGGGGGGGCAGGGGCCATGTGTCACCCCAGGGTGGTGGCCAGGCCCTGTCCCCATCGTCCCGTCCCCCCCCCCCCCCCCCCCCCCCCCCCGCCACCCCACGCTGAGGCCCTGTCCCCGTCCCCGCAGCATCGTGCACCTCTGCCTGCGCAAGGCCGACCAGAAGCTGGTGATCCTGAAGCAGATCCCGGTGGAGCAGATGAGCAAGGACGAGCGGCTGGCGGCGCAGAACGAGTGCCAGGTCCTCAAGCTGCTCAGCCACCCCAACGTCATCGAGTACTACGAGAACTTCTTGGAGGACAAGGCGCTCATGATCGCCATGGAGTACGCCCCAGGTGGGCCCTGATCTCCCCCAGCGCCCGCGGCTGGTTCCTTCACAGGTCCAGGGGATGCCAAGCCTTCAGCTCTCCTTGGGTTGAGCTGGCATGGCCCCGTGTTCTGCTCCTTGTAAAAATCCTGTGCTTTGGACCCCCAAAGAGTCCAAACGCCTCTCTCTTGAACAGACATTCCTTCCTGCAGAAAAGGATCTGGGGGTCCTGGTGGACACCAAGTTGACCGTGAGCCAAGTGACTGAGCGCTGGCACAGGTTGCTCAGAGAGGTTGTGGAGTCACCATCCTTGGAGATATTTCAAAAGACAGGTCGTGGTCCTGGGCAACCAGCTGTCGGTGGCCCTGCTTGAGCAGGGGATTGGACCGGGTGACCTCCCGAGGTCCCTTCCAACCTCAACCATTCTGTGATTCTGTGATTCTATGCCTTACGGCTGCTAGTCGTATCCAAAACAAAGAGATTTCTAACACCTCTGTTGCTGATAAGTGTGCTACCATCTGCCCTTGGCTTAGGTTTCACATATGTTTCCCTGTGTCAGCTCTCGGCCACGCTGTTGGTCCCACACCTCTGTGTGGAAAGGTGTGATTTCTAATGAGATTTGCTGTGGAGTTTAAGATTAAATCAACATTTGCATGAGGGTTTGTTAAAGTTGTATGTGAGCCCTGAATCTGGACCTTCCCTTCTCGACAGGGGCCTCTCCGTGCCACGTGGCCTCTTGGACTGCAAGAATTCTCCTTTGCAGAACAGGCTTATCTTGTTCTGCCATCAAGGTTTATGTCCTCCTCCAAGAGCTGTAATTTTAGCGTTTCTTTTCCTGCTGCTTTTGACAATATGTCAACAGTAATTTTTCTCTCGCTGTTTCTTCATCCCACCAACTGTGCTGCCATTGTTCTCCGCATGGTCTCCGGAGCACTGGAGGACATGCTGCGTGTCCCACCAGGATGTGCTTTTTCCCATGCGCTTGACTTGTTAAGATGCCGTGGCTAAATCCCCTTGGCTTTTAGGCTGGGTTTGCGCTGCCCTGTGCAGCCCTTGCCGATAGCCCTTTGTTGTTCTTTGCAGGGGGCACGCTAGCGGAGTTTATTCATAAGCGCTGTAACTCCTTGCTGGATGAGGATACCATCCTGCACTTCTTTGTGCAGATCCTCCTGGCTCTCCACCACGTGCACACCAAGCAGATCCTGCACCGTGACCTGAAGACTCAGAACATCCTCTTGGACAAACATCGCATGATTGTCAAGATTGGCGACTTTGGCATCTCCAAAATCTTGAGCAGCAAGAGTAAAGCCTACACGGTGAGTGGCCTGGCTTTGCAGGGGAACTACTTACCACCATGGCAGCAGGCTAGAAACTCTGGACTTGGCTCACGATAGTCTCTTGGAAGCTGCTGTAGGCAGCGAGGTTGGATGTAGCATACTTGCAGTAGGCCACATCCATGTGCCACAATGCTGCTTTGCTCCTTGGAGTTTACATAGGCTGATATCTTCATGCCCAAGTTTGCTGCAGTTCTGCGGGCTGCAGAAAGGTAAGAAAGACCTGCCTGCCCAAGCCTGGGAGAGGATGGGGTGTCTGGGTGAGGGTAGACAGGGTTCCTCCCACTGTCACAGTGGGAGGTGTGGTGTTTGCAGGCTTGTCTGACACATATTTGGCAACTGAATTCCTGCCTGTGCCCCGCCACCCTGCTTTGTCTTAATCTCCTCTCTCTGCTTGAGACTTGAGTATCATTCCCCACCTGGTCTAATCTGACTAGACGTTTATATCACGCTCATTGCTCTGGGCTCTGATTCTCTTAAGTGGATAGGAGCAAAACTGGAGGTAATCTGTGTATGTGCAAGGGAAGTCACCGGAAAGGCAAATGCTCGTGTTTTTTACTGAGATTGTCAGGCAGATGTTGACACCAGGGAACAAAAGCCCCGCTTCACTCAGCTTTGCCTCGTGGTGCTCTAGCCAGCCAGCACACTGGGCTCTAAACTGAGCCTTTCTCTTTCCACCTCGCTGCCCCAGTTTCACAGCATCATGGTAAAATCCTTTGTCTCTTCTAGGTTGTGGGAACTCCGTGCTACATCTCCCCAGAGCTCTGTGAAGGGAAGCCTTACAACCAGAAGAGTGATATCTGGGCTTTGGGCTGTGTGCTGTATGAACTCGCCAGCCTCAAGAGGGCTTTTGAAGCTGCGGTAAGAGGGGTATGATTTACATGTAGCACAGGGAGCTGTGGCCTCGTACAGAGGTGAAAATCTATGCTTGGATCACTCTTGTCACTGAGCCTGGAGGTGTGAAGGCAGAGGGCAGTGCTGAGAACTTCTTGCTGCTTGGTCTCACCTCTGACCGCCCAGCCACTGCATGTCTCTCTCTTGTTTTCTCTCCAGAATCTTCCTGCCTTAGTATTGAAGATCATGAGCGGGACGTTTGCCCCAATATCGGATCGATACAGCCCTGACCTGCGCCAGCTCATCCTTAGCATGCTGAACCTGGATCCTTCCAAGCGGCCCCAGCTGAATGAGATCATGGCCCAGGCCATCTGCATTCGGCCCCTTCTGAACCTCTACACTGATGTGGGCAGTGTCAAAATGAGAAGGCAAGTGATACTGCCACCTTAGTGTCCCTTGGGAGGGGCTGCCACAGCCCAAAACATGTGTGACCAGCTCACTGTCTCTGTTACGAGCTCCAAAGAGAGTGTTGTCCCCATGCAGCTCCCCTGTGTTACCCAACATGCAGCTGCTGCAGGCCAAGCCTGGCCCAGTGGCTTGGGGCCATGGCAGGTGCAGGCTTGTCATCGCAGTAACAGTGAATAGAGAGTTGTGTGCTCAGGGGGAAGCAAACTGATGCCAACTCCCCTCTCTCAGGTGGTGTAAAGCACCTACTGTGGCAATTCTGTGAGCTATTCAGCCATGGCTTATGCTGTAGCTCTGTCCAGACCTTCTGTGATCCAGGGCTCTGCAGGACCTCTGGGGCCGAGCTGACATTAAGGACTGGATTTTTGGTTTGGCAGGCCTGAAAAACCCTTGGCTCCGGTGCCGACAGTAACTCACAGCCGGACGGGGGGACGAGTGAGCAGTGCCAGGCCAAGAGGTGAGTCCTGGCACAGTGTGTTCAACACAGCTTGATTTGGAAGGACCCTTTCCTTTGGATGATAGAGGGTCAGAGAGGCACTTGAGCTTCTGCAGAGAGAAAATTAAGAGACATCCCCTTCCCTGAGGCCTGGAGGAGCCCATGGGCACCTTGGCTCTGGGGACCAAGCAGCGCTCTTTCTCCAGCTGCCTCTTCTAGGTTTTGAACCCTTGAATCAAGTTTCTGCTGTTCCCAGCAAAGGCTGGGAACCAGCCAGGGGTGCTGAGGGGGGATGTCTCGGTGCAGCGCAATGCAGCTGGCACTGGTAACAATTAGCTAGAGCTGTCGTGGTGTCTCTTCCCTCAGTTCTCGGATAAAATACAAGGAGCTGTTCCCATGTGTTTCTCTCAGCCCTGGCTGGGAGCATCCCAGCAGCCCCTTGCCAGCCTTGGACTGGCGCTGGTCTGGCCCTGCTAGCTGGCAGGCAGCTCTGCTGGCACCCAGACTGGCTGGTGTCGTTTCTTTTCTTGTGGGAGAAGAGTCAGGGATCTAAGTTGATGATTTCTCTTTGACCCATAGGTGTTCGAGGTGGTTCAGCCAGGACAGGAATCCCTCCTCCACTGTCATCCATCTACACCTGGGGGAGTGGGATCACCACCCCTCTCCGCCTGCCCATGCTTAACACCGAAGTGGTGCAGGTGTCTGCCGGCAGGACGCAGAAGGCCGGGGTCACCAAATCGGGGCGGCTCATCATGTGGGAGGTGAGTGATGGGGAACCTGGGGCAGGCAGTGGCTGTGGAAGCCTCGGATGTGTGATTTCTGAGGAGACCTTTCTGCTCAATGCATAGGCCCTGGCACTGCGTCCCTCTAGGACCACTGTCCTGTCCAGGGTGCGGGTAACACTGCTAAGCCTGTGGGAAGGGGGTCTTCTGAGTTCTCCAACCCAGCTCTTGCTGCACAGAGGTGCAGCAGCTGACATGGCTTGTCTCCGCCAGGCTCCCCCGATGGGTGCTGCGGGAGGCCCTTCTCTCCCAGGAGCCACTGAGCAGCTCCAGCCTCAGTTTGTGTCCCGCTTTCTGGAGGGCCAGTCTGGCGTGACCATCAAACACGTGTCCTGCGGTGATCTCTTCACAGCCTGCCTCACAGGTGAGCTGCTGCCTCCTGCCTTCGCCTG